GCAAAATTCGAGTTAAATACACAATGATTTGAGTTAAATACACAATGGTTTGAGTTCATTATACAATACTACTTGTACAGTATTATAAAATAATATTGTTCTGGCTTACATGCAAATTCGACTTAAGGACAGACCTCGGGAAAGGAACTTGTTCTTAAACTGGGGTCTACCTGTAGTCTTTTATTCTTGTGAGATCAGATTAAGATACGGTTATTTGATCAAGGACACCCACGTCGTAATATGGTTTGTTTCATTTTAGATTAACACATTGTGTGAACTCAGCCAAAAGTGGCTTATTTATTAAGCAGTGGTTGGACTAACTTGAGGTCACTGGATGATTCATATGTAAAACAAGTAGCAGTGTGAACATAAATTAATGAAAATGTCCATATTTGTAATTGGCTGGATCTAGATGGTACAAGAGACATTGCAATTTTCTCTTTTGCTTCTGTTTCATCTAAATGAATTAGGTAATACTGTGTCACAGTAATCCAGGTTTTCTCAAAAATGTTTCATTAGCTACCATTTGTTGTGGAAGGAGAATTGTGGGCACAAACATGTCCTCTTGCATGCTTAGCTTTACGCGGTGCATATTTTGGGGAAAAAGAGGGAAGAAAAGGAGGAGATTGATTCTATTGTTTTTAAGGTAGTTCTGACCACACTATAACAGAATGTAATATAGTCAGAAGACGTTTTAAATATGGAAAATAATACAGTACTTTTCAAGCTCAGTTTGACTTTTTAAAAAGTCTATCAAAAATATGCAACTCTTTTAACCTAGATTCAGCTCGTCTTTGACTCTTAGAATATCAGTGTATATTGTTCGTACAGTAGTATAATATTTCGTTCTTGGTAAGTATATACCCTGTATACGATCAAAGGTTTTCTTTTTTGCTCTTTCTTGTGAATTTAGAAAACTCTCTTCTTTTCCCATCTTGCTTTTCTAAATAGTGGCCATAGTTAGATGTTGCACAGAATGGTATGCTTTGGCCCTGATTGTTCTGCATCGTGTAGGAAACCAAAAACAGTGTTGGAAAGACTCATTAGACAGTACTGATTGGGCAGTTTTGAGTATTCAGTGCAACACATCCCCATGGAGTCAGAAAGATCTGACAATCTGAGTTAAATGCCTTTTTTGGAAGGAAAGCTTCTGTACATGGTTGTCTTCCATATGGTTCCTCGTGCTGAAGAAGCTTCTGACTTTAAAAGATTTTAGCAGTCATCTTTTTCTGCTCAGAGTACTGTAGTCAAAGTAGTGAGAGGCAGCTAGAAATCTTAGCACCTTTGGATGTCAAAGCTTAATTCCCATAATTTTTATGAGAATCCATGACAATGCAAGTGCTATAAATCAATTTAGGAAGATACAGTTACCTGTTGTGGCTCCCTCGTGATAGCTCAGTGACCTGGTTATTGATTGAACGTTTAGCAGTTGGGTTCCTAGGCGACAGTTTGTGGGAGCAGTGCTTGCATTGATCATGCATATGCTAAAGATCTGTGATCTGCTTTTGATCCAACAATCATTCACATAGCTGAGAATAAAGTGCAACAGGGCAAAAAAGGGCTAAACAATTAAAACAATTGAAGGGGGCTTCTCTAATCAGCTGCACCCGTTTGTTAAAAGCTAGAGGCAAAAGCTAGAGATTAGGGCTGTGGTCAATGCCTTTCTAACACTGGGATTCAGTTGGGCACTGTGCAAAAAAGACCCCACGCTTCATGTGGCTGAGCAGACCAAGAAGCAACTCCCCAGATTTCCAGAAGATCTCTTCAGTGTTAGTCTGGAGCAAATGCAGAACCTTGGAAACTCTGATAGGAATTTCTCAGCGTACAGTCAGTCAATTAAGGTGTAGTCTCCCTGAATACTTTGAGATGCCGTTCCCTGGATTTCTCTCCACCTGAGCTGAGTTTATGTGATAACCTGTCAGCTAACTCATCAATTCCTTTCCTTTCCCAGCCTCCCCAAAATCACCCACAGGAGGGGAAGCAGAAATCATCCCATTTCTGCCTATATAATCCAAGATGCAGATGATTGTGAAAGAATGGGCTGTTAGAAGAAACTAACACCATTTTCCATCATTTTCTTACTTCAGTTGCAATCCTGTTTTTTTTTTCTGCGCAGCCATATGCACAGAATAAAAAAATCATTCTCCTGATCGACTATCATCTTCCTGTCCTTATTTTAACTTCTGAATCTCTTCAGGTCTAAGGGTAAAACACTTACAAGCCTGCCTGTTTTTCTGTTCCAAAGCATGTAAGCAGGGATTTTCCTTGCACTGTTAAATTCCAAGGCGGAACTGGATATGAGTTTGGGAGCAAGATTCCACTTGCTTATGTTGTGTTTATTTGGAAGAGTAATCGTGCCAAAGCTTAGTGGGGAAACAAATGAGGCAAACAATTACAGTATATAAGTTACAATCTGATAAACAATTAATTGCTTCGTTTAAACATGTAAGTTTGCTTCATTTGAATCTTCACTGGACAAGCTTCTTCCATGTAATTGTGGTATATTGATACATTTATGGTTGTGCAATAACGGTTCTGTTGAACCTTTTTATTCATGTTCTTGCTTCCTCCGAGCTACCACCCTTAAATTCCAGTTGAGGTATTATTGTATTAAAAACCATTCATGTGTATTTCAAGTCCTATTTTTCTTCTGGACAAAAGCAGATAAGCTTCGGTAAACATCAAAAATTAGAATTTGAATATAAATGTGGAGTGCCTGCCATGCAGAATAAATCCAACTTCACTGCTCAAAGGTATTGGGTGAGCAACAGTTTGCTCAGACAGAGAAAGGTTGCAAGCCATCCTACTTCGATGATGCTCATGGAGAGATGGAAGATGCGCCAAAGCGTTGGAAAAGTTGAAGTGTGGCTGAGCTATTCTTTCTTTCAACGTTCTGGGGACCATCATTTTCATCCATGGAACTTTTATTTCAAGGCCATAGACCCTTTAAGAGTTCTTTCTTGGCATAATATCTTGTTTGTCACATGGCTATAATCAGGGTGGATGCAGCAAGCCGCAGCTAAATTTTTAGTATGATAAATGTTGCAACTGCCATCGTGAAAACATGAATCCTTGAATACAGATCTTACAGATACAACCGTAATACTGCCTGCGGGTAGGCCTTTGATCAGCACCAACTTATCATTTGCTGCACCCAGGAATTCCCCATCCATTATCATGTGTCTGCAGGAAAAAAAAGACTGAACAGGTGGAACATCTGTGAAAGAAATGGCCAGGTGCTTAGCATGAGTTCAGAAATGTTTAGATCATGCACGATAGCATTAATCTCCACCCTGTTGCCACTCCTAATTCTGAATTTTGTTCAGCAAACGCAATGATTTTGTTACTGGCTGCGGTTTTTTCTATATACATTGCTATTCTAGGACAGTATTTTCTGGGATTCTATCAATTTAATTTAGCAAGAACCATGTGCTTCAGTGCACAGTCATTCACTGAGTACCCCTTGTTTTGTGAGCTCCAGTATGTACTTATTTCGCCCATTCGCACATTCAGATTGCCGTGTTTCTGATCCTTCCATCCCTTCTGATGTGCTGTTCTGTTCACTGGAGGGTTAGGGTTAAGCTTTAGAGTTGGTGCTTGCAAAGCTTGGGAACTGGAGCTGAATAAGGATTTGGTTTCTTTTATTGCAGATCTAAAGAAATATGGAATACAGAAGCTTAACATGACTTTTTTGCCTATCAAATGAATCCAATTATCTAACTGTTATCAGGAAAACAGACACTAAAATATTACAGACTTAGACTTTCACTGACTCCTTAATTCCTGATGTGATAAGCAGGTTTATTCCCAGTTCTACTTCGTTAGGTTTATTACCATACTAAAGTTACAGTTAGTCTCATTTGTCATTTGTGCTCTATTCTGTTTCAGAGAATGAGCCGGTTTATGCAAGTGAATGCAATTAACTTTGGCAGACCTCCCCTTTCTGTTAGTATCTTAACTTCTGTAGCCTTTTACAGATAACCGTGCCTTGAGTGCCAGCTGAATTAATCGAAATTAATCACTCTTCAAGGGTTGGAAAAGTTGAAGTGTGGCTGAGCTATTCTTTCTTTCAAAGTTTGGGGACCATCATTTTCATCCATGCAACTTTTATTTCAAGGCCGTAAACCCCTCAAGAGGTCTTTCTTGGCATAATATCTTGTTTGTCACATGGCTATAATCAGATGGATGTTAGCAACTTTCTTTTTCTTTTATTAATTCTTGCATATCTTCTTCTTTGGCATTTTATTTGTTTTATTTATTAAACCAATTTATATAGCTACCCATCTCACCACAGGCAACTCTGGGTGGCATATGACAAAGCTAAAAACAGTCAATAAATACATTAAAAATATAAAAAGCAAAATAAAACAGAATAAAAGGATGTTGAAAACAAGGGAGCCACCTCACTAATTCCCAGACCCTGGCAGGTCCCCAGGCCTGCTGGCATAACCAAGTCTTAAGGGACCTCTGGAAGCTCAACAATGACGAGGCCAACCTCACCTCAAGGGGGAGAAGATCTCACAATGCGGGGGTCACAGCAGAAAAGGCCCACTGCCTGGGGCCTGCCAAATGTAGCAAATGAAACCCATAACATGCCTTCTCTGCTGGATCTGGTAGAATGGCAGATGAAATCAGGATCTGTAAACCCCCCACCCTGCCCTCAAATACCTAAAAACACAAAACTACTCGGTTAAAAAAACTTGGTTCTCATTCTGGAGTGTTGTGGAGATTGCCCCCCCCCCAAAAAAGTTATTGGGCACCACTTGTGGTAGGAAAGTTGTTTGTGATAGTTTGCTGGTCATTGGCTTATGGGAAAAGATGTATGGCAATCACTGACTGACTATATGTTTGCTTAAACTGTGATTTCAAACCATTTTTTGGTTCTGGCTTCGTAAACACCCACCAAGTAGCATTTACAGTGAAGTCAGAAAGAGTTGGAGCGCGATGGGGGAAGGAGCACACAAAACCTGAGACTTAGTTGTGATGGTCAATTTGTTGTTTAGGCGTTAGTCTGAACCAACCCAGTGTCTCTTCAGACAAAGCAATCCAAATGAAGTTAGTTGTTCCCTGCAAACCATGGTTTGCCACATGGCAAGCTTACCTTTCCTTCCCTTTTCTGAGACAATTCCCCCCTTCCAGTGTCACCCAGCATAAATTAGTTGTGTTTCATAAGCAAAGTAGTCATTATTTCCAGCTTTGATATTTGACGGTTTCAAACGCATGAGTGGACTGAATGCACAATAGCCTAAAGCCATTGTTAACATAAATAATGTGGAAGTTGGAAGAATGCAGAGGAGAAATAGTATACATTCCACTAATAGGATGCTATTGTTTTTAACTCACAAATCATGGTTTACAGGAAACCAGTTATGCATCTATACCAGCCCAATGCTTTTCTTCTGTGGTTTTAAAATTCTAACTTATTTGCAAAGTTTGAATAATTAAGGTTAAAAAATGTGCAGTCTTACTGTCTTTGGAGAACAAGGGCGCACCACTCTTAAATAAAATAGAGAAAAAAACAGATCTGCTGATGTAAAAATACCAAATGCCACTACTGTGACTTGCATTTGTGAGAGATTGGAGTACAGTCTATTTTCAGCTGTTTGTGATGGAAAAAACCTTCAAGATATGTCTTGAGTAGAGTTAAGAGAGGCAGAACAAAATAAGGAAGTGGATTAGGAAAGCATGAACAACAGCCATAAAAAGTATATTGTTTATATACAGAGTATATTTCTTGGAAAAAGGTTAACCTTTTTTCTCTCTCTTTAAGCTAAGTATCAGAAAATTATCCTTAAACACTGTTTAATTTAGTGTTGTTCTGGAGCAAATGGCTGATTTAGAATATTGGTTAGGGGCAAAGAGAAGCTGAATAGTATAGCAATCTGATCTGCACAGAATATACACGTTGATTTCTGTGCATTGGGCTTTCCCAACCATAAGTTCAGATTGCAGCTTGTTTCTGAAATTGTTTGACCGCAGCTGAACTTCCATGCCAGACATGCACAGACAAGAGAAGTACTAGGTATTTGTTTACTCACTGATACTGGCTAGGAACTTCCTGAACTTTAACATTTTGAAATCTCTGTTCCAGTGCATGTTAAATACATTCTAATTTCCCTCCCTTTTCTCTTTCATCCTGTTAGACATTTGCTGAACAAGTATTTGGTATTTTCAGCTGGACCATTCCAATTGCTGTTGCCTTGTCCTGTTTTGGTGGACTCAATGCATCTATTCTAGCATCATCTAGGTAAAACAACAAGAACAGCAACTAATTTTGCTTTATCATACTTAAAGCTGTATGCCTCTAACCACAAGAATTAGCTTGTCGAAGATGCGTGTGAACTGTATAGTTTCAAATTTGACTTTTAAACCTTTCTGAGCACAATTTCTGTATACCCAAAAGAGGAAATGTATCATATCATTTGCAATTTATTTGTTTACTTTCTTAGTTTATATCCGTACCAGTTTATGGTGATTCTAAACCTCTTATGTAGCTATCATGTGTAACTAGGACCAAAACAATAAGAATTAGCAATAAAACAAACAAACAAACCAAGCAAATAAGCAGACAACCCCACTGCAGAAGGAGATCATTGAAGCCATCTCCAAGGCCTGCTGGAATAGCCAGGTGTTAATGGCCTTTCTAAATTCCACCAAGGTTGGGTCAAATTTCAGAAAGGGGAGAGCAGTTGAGAAGGCTCATCTTTCATGACCCTTGTCATGGTTCTGTACACAAAGGAGCTTTGTGTAAGGGGAAAGCAAAGATTGAATGATCTGATACATTAAACTTCAATGCATCAAAATCCTTACATTCTCTTGGACTGTCAGCCCTACAAGGCAGACCAGATCAAGAAATCGGCTATAGAAACCTAAAAATTATGTTTATTTAGATTGGCTATAGTAGGATAATCTTGCGAGTCTGAATGTGCTTCCCCTCCTTGTTCTTTTATATTAATGTGAATTTGGGGGTTGTTTATCTGAGACGTTTTCTTAATCCACTCCCATCATCTGGACTCAAGCACTGTTTCCCTCTTTGTTGCTTTGGTAACAGATCTTCCCTCTCTTAGTCAACGTCATCCACTTTACTTTCTATGTGGACTCTTCTACGTGGCTGTTGTTTCAGATAATTCTCACTTCTCTTAATACAGTGGGGCAAAAAAGTATTTAGTCAGCCACCAATTGTGCAAGTTCTCCCACTTAAAAAGATGAGAGAGGC